TCATAAAGTGCTTCGTCGAAACTTAAACTTAACCCAACAGGGATGAATAGTTTCCAACTTCAAAGTCAGATTGCAGCTCTCAAATAATTAAGACAGATTCCTACTGCCTCAATGCACTTACAGTCAAGTTGGGTAATCGTATTGATGGCTACGATATACAAAGACCGAAGAATTTATAAATGGATTGTGTGAAAGAGGATATACTTAAGAAGGGAATGAATTTAGATGTGACTGATAGAGATATATGGAAGCGCACAGTGTGCCGTTGAAGGTCATACTACTATATATTATTTTTTTATTTAAATAGCAAAGAACAGTTGCAATTTGTTTTACAAAAAAGGGAAAGAACGGTTAAAGTTTACAAAGAAAGTTGCTTATAATACAGAAAATCGTTACAATTCGCTCGACGATACTCCCTACTTGTGTTGCCGTATGTAATAATATTAAATTCCATTATTAGAAGACTAATTCAAGAAGTAAATGAGAACCTTCCGCAATTAAAAGAAAAACAACATCTACAAATTAACAAGGTTACGGAATGCATTTCCCACGATCCCGCTCAAACAAATTAGTTCAATTCTTAAGTAACAGTTTGTTTCACGTGAGAAAACGGACGAAAACGTTTGATTAAAAAACTTTTCTTATATTCGGCTTTTGTTTCGAATAAATCGTAAGCTCCAACGTTGTAAAGGCTTATTTTTACATTCTTTTGATACTGTTTTACTGTTTTAGGGTGGTTTATTAACGGTTGTTATTTATGAGTTTTAGTCTCTCCTACACATCCTTTTATGTTGATGTTAGCAAGCCTTAAGGCTCATTTTCACTGGCTTAGTATAAATTAAAAGAAGCATTGAACGTGACAATGTCCAAGTATTAATGTTTTAATATGTTTTTTATTAGAATGTATAAGAGCTGGTGTACACTTTTGACTAAACTATCGCACAAAACTTTTGCGATTGTCGATTTTTTCATAACCAATACAACTGTTTAGTGGCACAACTAAAAATAGAGTAGTGTCCACATAAGGTTATAGGAATCAAAGCAAAGTTTCAAGTGTGCTCACGCTCTTACTATCCAGTCTTGTCTGGAAATTGAAAGAGTAACGCTTCTCAGATCAGACAAAAACAAAAGCATATATGACTAAACTTTAACGGATTGTTTGTCATAAGATTTGTTTTGTCTGGAAAGTTTGGAAATGAAATGTGATTATTATCTACGTGTAACGAATGTTAGTGTGTTTATGTTGAAGTTGAAATATTATATTACAAATAAAACAACTGACTGTCGTAAAAATTTACAACAAAGTTACGGAGAGATTTTTTTATAACTATTGGACAGTAAAATTGATGCAGGTTCTTTTACGATGTAGCCAAAGAGTATCATGAATATCATGAAAACCTATACTTTAAGTATGAAAAAATATTACGTACAAAGTACATCGGTCTGACAAAGGAGCAAATTCCTAAACATTATCACCAGCTATAACGTCCCCATCGAGGGGCTCGGAGCCTTCCCTAAGTTAGGATGACTAGGCCATAGTCAACCACGCTGGCTCATTGCGGGTTGGTTAACTTCACAAATATCCTCAAATTTCTTCGCCGATATATGTAGGTTGCATCACGATGTTTTCCATCACCTTAAGAACGTCGGGTAAAAAATCGAAAATCACATTGGTACATGGCGGGATTCAAACCTAAGACCTGTAGATTACAAGTCAAGTGCTTAAACGACTGAGACACCGCCGTTATTGTACATATTTAAAGGGACTAATAAATGTATATATCCTATATATATTTATATAGGATTTTCTTTTCAAGTGTACGAAACTCTTATCTTCCATTTGTTATCCTTTCAATATCCGTTACACGTTTCTGATAACTTTTCCTTTTTTATCCGATCAATATTTGACAGAATTAAATATAAACTACCAGATAATTTAAGAGCTCAATAAATTGTTATGTACAAATGGTGGAAAACATTTCGTAAATTTGATGCGACAACAAAAGACCCAGCGCCAGTGTCGTTTTTTCAATGGCTTTTAAACATTGATTGAGATGAAATCCATTAGCAAATTGGATGTCCACAAACCTGAAGTTTTACTAAATAAAGAACAAAACGCACCAACCTTGATCTTTAATTTATTTAATATGTTTTAACAAGACAAAAATGTTTTTTATTTCCAGTAAATAATGGTTAGATCTAGAAACAGAGAAACTGCAAGTATAGTACTTGTATAGGTATTTCGACTTCAGATTTTATTTAATATCTTAAAAGTAAATAAAACATTCAAACAAACACCATAGTACCAACATTTCAATCAAATATATACGTAACTCCTAAAGTTACTTGTTCTCGTTTGTGGTTAAAAGCTCAGAGCTATCGTAAAGATAAATGGAGCTTTCATCGGAGATTTATGTATATTGAGCTATATTTAAAGCCATTCCTGTATTTACCAGTTACATTTCTATAGGGAAGTAAATTACAAGCACGATATCATTAAAAGGTATAACTAAATAACAGTCATGTTACATTTTAATTCT